CATATAAATTTAAATTGGTACACGAATTAAACGAAGATGATCCCGATCGTCAGCTTGAATTCTGTGAGATTTTTATTGAGCAATTAAACGGTAATGCCAATCTACTGTACAATACGTGTTTTTCTGAAGAACCGATATTTCAGTTAAATGGGGGAGATAAACAGGCACAATTGTAGCTATTGGAGTGAAACCAATCCACATTTGTTCAAAGAAACTCATACCCAAAGGCATCAGAAGTTAAATGTTTGGGCTGGCATCTTAGGGATCACATTGTCGGGCCGTTTGTCATTCCTGATAATTTAAATGGCGAAAGGTACCTCGATCTGTTAGATAATAACATCGACCCAATGATTACCCAAATCCTCGAAGAAGACGATAATCTTTTAGAGGGCGAACTGTTTCTTCAACAGGATGGGGCACCCCCACATTTTGCTATAGCAGTCCGTCAATTTTTGGATAATCGGTTTCCTGAGCGATGGATTGCAAGAAGAGATCCTGTAGAGTGGCCCGCTCGGTCACCCGATTTAACGCCCTTGGATTTCTTTCTGTGGGGACATTTGAAATCGAAGGTATTTGTAACAAAACCCGCATTTCTGGAAAATTTACGTGAAAGAATTGTTCGAGAATGCCGTTTATTGGCTCCAGATGTGTTCAGAAATGTTCGTCCAGAATTTTAAGACTAAGATTATACTACTGTATGGAAGTCAGTGAGGGTCATTTTGAACAATGCATACAATAATTTAAACTGCTTCTTTTATTTTTATTTCTTGAACCTAAAATAATGAAACAGTTATTTCTCAGGGACGAATCGATAAAAGTTTTAAAAAATACACGGTTATGTAGAGAATTAAAAGACCTTTCAAAAGATGTATCACTCGACCCCGTTTTCCATTTGAATTTTTTGAGGGGGTGGCCGCGTAGGGTAGAGGGATGATGATAGGTATACAAATATTACATTAAAATATGTCCCCCTTGAAAACAAGGTCGACGTGTTTCACCAATTTTTCAAAATATTTTTATCTCCAAAGTTATTCAGAGTGCCTACTTTTGGTTGGGACACCCTGTATAACAACATGATGGTTTTGGTGTACCTTACACCATGAAGAGAACGAATTTGTTTTTATGTTATATTTTCTGTGGTACTTTCATGATCTTGGCCTATTTTGTCAATCTGAGATGGCGGTGTGGATTCTTATATGGAAGATTACAACATAATGGATGTAAGTTATAAAAAAAGCATCTATAATTACACATTTTCTTTATAATGGATCTCCTAGTTTGGCATATATGCTTTTTATTTTCATTTATCATACAACGTAACTTCTATGGAATCATGTGATTCTTTGAAGAGGGTTGTCGAATTAGAGATTTGAGGGTTAATGTTGTAATTTTAGGAATATTGTGGGATCTGGGTATACCCAAATTGTAAATTTATTTCTTTGTCATTCATTTGTAGAGGTTTATTAGCCAAGTGCCAAAATTACTATTTTCAAGTAGTTATGTAAAAATATACGGAACACCCTTTTGGTAAGGCACAGCTGTCATAGACCAGTTTCACCGTATACCGGCTCATCATCAGTATAGTTCCAGACATAATGCACCTACTACCAAGGAAATATTTACTAATGGGACGATGTAGCAAAACAGCTTGCAATGCAATGTTGCCTACCATCATTTCGTGTCAGTCTATATCAACTTGACAAAGTTTAGATAAAACTAAATGTAAACTGAAGATAACCAAATAAATTGATCTCTTCAGAGGTATATGGAATAGACTAAAAATATAAACTGAAGGGAGATATTATCAGAGGTAAATTTATCTCTGATATAATCTTGGCTCACTTCAGTTTATATATAGTCCGGACTTCACCCAATTGAGTGTTATATTCTGACACGAAAGAATACTAGATCGAAACACGGTCTCAATGCAAGTTGTTTTGTTTCATCGTCCCATTGGGAAACGATATTTTCTTGGTGGTAGGTAAATTCTGTTTGAAGCTAGACTAATTAGTCGGAACACAGTAAACCCGGTCTACTAATACACAAGGTCGTTTCGTACATTTGTACTTATTGGAATCAATCCTTTGGTAGTCTATAGCAATTAATTTTCTGCATGTTAAGTAATGATAAAGAAATCATTTGAACGCATCACCCTCTACAATAGTAGTCTTACTTTCAGAAGTTAAAGGACTATAATAGCTAACTTTACTATTTTTCACTTTTATTGCAAATTTATATTTTATGTACACTTCTTTAAAAGGATTTTCCTTTGTGTTTATAGGCCATTGTCTTTGAAAAGGCAAATTGAATGGGGTTAGTATCATTCGTTTCCTATTAGCAATTTGCAGAAATTAGCGTTGCATCGAGACGGTTGGTGCTCGGAACATGTTCCGCATACAAGTAGCAGCTAAAGCATTGTTTTCAGAGGCATCTAATGTTTTAACATATTGTATTGGAGTAGGAATTTTCAGATATCTAACCACAAATTTAAAGTACTTGATCTATTTGCTTTTTTAATAGTATTAGCAAGTACAAGCTCTACACATAAAAAATATCGAGACAAGTTTTGTCAATTTTGTTTTGTTTTGTTAATTTATTGGATTGCTATCAGAAAATAATGATGAAAGGATCATAAGTTAAAAATCTAATAGATTTGGTCAAAATCGATATACATTGGGCCTTCTCAGAACTCGAACTAGAACTCGTTCATCATAATAATCATAAGTTAAATCTCAACTCATCTAAAACCATAACTTGGCTCCAGTTCTGTAACTGCCAAAGTCAATATTCTCGAAAAACCAATAATCTCGCCTTTTTATGGTGTCTGGTAAATGTACGTCCTCTAAGTGGTCATCTAAACTGCAAAGTAACTTCTCTGAGTTTATTAGGCCCTGTTCGGATCGAAGCGTGAACTCTTCTAACTCTAGAGAAGTCATTTTTTAGAGTTGATGCAGTTAAAAAACGGTTTCGAGGGTCTGTAGTCTAAGAAATCTGTCAGCGGGAGGGGTTGTGACCCTGTGACTAATCCTATCTCTTGATGCCGTTTTCAGAGTCTAAAGACTAGTGACTAAGACATTTAACACTGGGCCTACATTTCGCAGTGGTAACCACAATTTGACAATGCGGTGCTATAAATATAACTTCATTGAAGGTGAAACCACTAATCTTCTAAACTGCATTCGCCATGTACATGAAAATTGCTCGGGCGTTTCTGCTTCACTAATTAAGGTAATTGAACTGAAAGTCACACGCATTTTTAAATTCTACTGCGAAGATTGGGTCATCTTCCAGTTCCTTAACTAATCAAAGCTGTCGATTACTTCAAGGTGGAAGTTGAAAAGTTAAATTCGACATATTCGATGAACTTCAAAGTCGCCAAAGATGACACAACAATGTCATGTTTTTTAATTTGTCTTAACAGGGAAATGATCATGAATAGGTTCGACAAATAATCCAGAACAGTCAATATTTCACTTAACAGAGTTAATACTGTCACAGTCGGAAAAGCGAACAGAGACAGAGTAACAAGCCTTAAAGGATCATTCTCAGATAATAAGACTGCCATATACATTTTAAATAATTGCTCAAAGTCCAACGGCAGTAAGTTCTACGTCAGTCTTGACTTAACACCCGAGTAACATATATACGAATATAAGATGGTTATAAATAAAATGTTTACCAAATTAAACTCTAAATAAAGTAATGAATATCAAAAATACTTATTACATACCAAATAATGAAAGATCGAAAAATTAATATTGCGTCACTAAAATAACAACGGGTCCCATTGTTTTACTATTGCTTGTTTTTTAAATACTAAGGTATTACTAATTTGACTAAATATTTACCAAATTTAGAACACCAAAATTAATCTTAGTTTCAGTAATCTATCTTGTTTTGAATCTATCTATTTAAAATGTACTTATTTTCATTGCCCATATTTTTGTAATATTTAATCTTATGAAGGACATTTTAGGGCAAGGAAAATTAGTTACATCACAAAATGTAAAGATGTAAAATAATTTGGTGAAATTATTTTTGGGAAACAAAAAAAATAATATAAGAAAATGACGAGAAGTCAATATCTGGTTATCAATTTAGGTTTATATGTGGTCTAGGATTTGGTGAACATTTAGTATTTTTGGGAAACAAAAAGGTCTTTTTACTGGCAAATAATATAAGGATATGACGAGGTCAATACCTGGTTATGAATTTGGCATTATATGTGATCTAAAATTTGGTGAACATTTAGTTTGTATTCTTGAGAAACAAAAGTATTTTTTTTTGTATGCATATTTTGATTAAATTTAGTAGGCTATTAAATATAAGCCAAATAAAATTCAAGAGGAATTTAATCACCGTATATCTTTCGGAGTAAAAATTAAAATTAAATATGGTAAACTTTCAATCTACTTTCAGAGTGTAAGTGACCAGCACACACCAAACTAAAATTTTTAATAACCCTCACTCCAAATTCCTCATACCTGTGATATTAACAGAAACATGGGTAACCGAAGACTACTACGATGCTTGGATAACTATACTGTTTATGGAAGACCGTTCAGCATTCTCGAGAATATTTTCTTAATTCCTAATGCCTTCATAGAAAAGTTGGAGCAAGTAATTTTTTCTATACCCTAATGTTAATAAATTGATGATGTTTCGGTCAATAAATAAATAAATAAACAAATTATATATATTGATCAATTTGTATTACTTGTGGCTGACAGCTAGGTCGATAAAGCGCTTATAGCTACTCACTCCGTGCCGAAGATCAATGGTTCGATTCCATCCTGAGTATAATTTTGTAGATAATGTATTAAATATTTTCAAAACCGTCTCTCAAGTGTTCGAAGTAACCCCCTGAAGATCCAATAATTTTGTGTTAGGTAAAGAAAGATGAGGCCTTAGAGTTTATTGTGGAGTTCCAACTAAATCTAGGGCGTCGACAATTCCCTCTCCCATCTGAATCCGACACAAACTAGAAATAAAATGACTAACTGTTCAGGATGGAATCGAACCATCGACCTTCGGTGCCGAATAAATGACTATATAAGCCCTTTAACCACTAGGCTACCATACTCACTACACAACACTATACAGTGTGCCTCGCAGGAAACTGTATCGATCGATATAGGGAAAAGTATGTAAGAAAATTTTGAAAATTTAGGGAACTTGTCAATACCAAATTGCTTATTTTCTTCTTCTGCTAATATATAGTTAAAATTGTTTGTTTTCGTAGGTGATATAAAATATAAATATTCCACAAAATTTGGAAAATGACTATTTAGAAAATTTACCTATCTCCGAGCATAGATAATTTGTTTATCAGCATGGCATGCCGGTGCCCCTCCACATGACGCTTAATTGAGCAATAATTTTTTACAAGAAATTTCTTACGATCAATGGATTGCCAATAATGGACCTTTACTACGGCCTCCTGGCACACACGATTTATCAGTTTCAATTGTTTTATTTGGGGAACTGTTAAAAATAATGTTTATGATAATCTATTACAACTATTGAGGATTGTACCTATGCAGAAAGTGAGAAATACATTTCAAAATTTATCACAGAAGTCGATTAAAAGAACTAATGAAGAACTAATCCATAAAGTGCGAAAAATGAGTATGCATACCAACCCAAAAGTGTCTAAAATTATCCAGTCAAGGAATGGTTTCTAAGCAGACTTCTGTGCGCACTTTCTTGACTTTTGGGCTGTGTTTGGAAGTGTTTGGAGATGAATATGTCTGGGGTTTGCGATGGGAGCTAATTCCAGGGGTTCCCAAAATGTGTCCCTGTTTCTAGTTTCTCACTTATATCTCGATTATGGTTAGTCTTAGCGAAAACGTCATTATATACAATATTAATGTTGGTAATAGTATCTATTGATTTTTTTCTTATCCCTAATCGTTATCGAGTTATAAGTCATTTTAATTGTTATTTTTTACAAAAGTAATTTTCCCACCACTGTTTTGGAGATATAATATCTCGTACCTTATAAACAGTTACATTTAGAGCAAAACTGCTCAGAAACGAAGTTGCAGAAGATAAAATTATCTTCAAAATCAAAAGAGATTTCTCTAAACCCTTTTCGTTACCACTCCTTTGCTAAGTCTGTCACCACCATGAAACCAGATATCTCGGCCCTTCCACCAACTGAAGGAGCAGCAAAGCAGCATAGCTTTTAAGTTTATCTCCAAGGTCAGGCCTTGATGAGTAACATGCTTCCCCCCAGAACTTTGGGGGTGGAAACTTAAACACCGATCAAGTAAAGGGGATCAGCTCGAGCCCTGCCCACCAAAGACCTTAAAGCCCCAGTAGCTATTTTGAACTTGATGTTCTGCAAATGCATCAAAGGCTGTGGTGGCGCAAAGTGTAGTTGCAAGAAGACTGGTATAACTGCTCCCCTATATGCCACAACTGCCATGGAAACTGCCTGAACAGTGTTCAGTTCATCGAGGATGAAGATGAGGATTGCGAAATTCTCCCATCGTCAGTGATACCACAGAGTCCCTTGACGAAATACAGGACGTCCCAATACGTGGTGATGAACCTCTCCTGGGCCCATCTATATCCAAAAATCAAGAAGAAATGAAGATGTTTTTCTGATTACTTTTACTTTTACTTACTCACCCCTCAAAGTGAGGAAGTTATGTATTATTAAAAAAAATTTTGAAAATATTTATTGCATTTCTGGACGATTCACGACGAATTATGACGATACAGAAAATTTCAGACAGAAAAAAATGTTCTGTCTGTGTGTATGTCTGGTTCGCGATAGCAGCTACAGTTTTTGAGATAAAGCTTTCAAATTTGGTACACACATTGTAGAGGTCAAGGAAGAGATTGAGTTAGTTAATGAGCAAAATCGGCCCCAATGTCTAAAAAAAATGTTAGCGACATTCCACCAATGTGACTTTTTTGAAACGTCAAAATGTGACTTTTTGAAACGTCAAAAAATGTATTTTTGAAACGTCAAAGTGACTTTTTTTGAAATTCAAAATGTGACTTTTTTTGAAACGTCAAAAATGTGACTTTTTTGAAACGTCAAAAATTACTTTTATTATAAACTCCACCACACGTCGAGTTTTACTACGGTGAGAAAGTTCTGATTCCCAAGTAATTGGCAGCGGTTTTTCTTTTAAGTTACCATTTATATTTATATTACTACTTTTACTATTTTTTTATTAGGAACATTATGCGAATTGTGCTCATTTTATTAAACATTTACCTCCCTCCCTGAAGCTTTTAACCCTATTATAACTACCTATATTATAAGCAAGTTAAAAAAGTTGTAATGAATTTAAATTATATAGCAATTTAAATTTATGTATATGTTACATATGTGTCGGCACGTGTTATAAATCATTTCTATGGTGATATAACCGTTATTTACCAGGAAAAAATAACCTTCGGTAATCTTTTTTGCTTACTCGGACTTTTTATGAATTTTGCAAAGAGGTATAACTTTTGATATTATGGGCGGAATTTACTTTTTTATGTACCAGTTTGAAGATAATTTTATTTTCTGCAACCTCGTTTTAAGCACTTTTGCTCTAAATATAACGGTTTAAAAGGTACGAAACATTATGTCCAAAACCGTGATGTGAAAATTATTTTTGAAAAAATAACAGTTTTCAACGTTCGAAAGCGGTAGGGATAAGAAAAAAATGAATAGACACTATTATTCGAACTTTAATATTGTATATAACGACGTTTTCGCTAGGACCAACCATTATCGAGATATAAACGAAGAACCAAAAACAGGGACACATTTTGGGAACCGCTGGAGTTAGTTCCATAATTAGAACCCAGGACTTTTGATATATTTATCTACAAACACAACCCAAAAGTAAAAATAAAAAAAGTGCGCACAACAGTCTGTCTACAACACATTTTTGACCATTCGTTGACTGGATTATATGTATACGTTTTACAGTGTTTGGTGACGGTTTATGTTTTTGTGGATATAGAGTAGCATATATGTTACATATTATTGATAGTACCTTATCTTATCATATTCTCCATAAATAGAAAACAAATTTAAAAAGACTTCGTTGCTGTAATTTAAACGTGCTGGCTTTTTTTTTACATTAGCGAATGACTGGCATTATTGACTGTTTCTAATTATGGCTAAGTAGATAGCAATAATTCTTACGAAAAATTCTTGAAAATCTAAGAAAATCGCAAATATTTCAAAAAGTTGTAATTTTAGCTCCTACAAAACGTATACTAGAAAAAAGAGAATTTAACTTTACAAAATTAGATGTAAAAAATGCGTGTTCCATTTGAACTAAACAAGTTTTCGCGGTTTAAAGTTGACAAAATGTAACGTGAAATATGGAACACTTGATATACTATTATTGAATTTATTCTAATTATAGAGCGTAGCTCACATTGGGTTCTTTGTACATGTCAAAAAGTAAATGCGGCTCTCATACACGAAGAAGAAAGTTATAAAGGTTACTGCAAACCGTCGTACACGATAATTTGTTTATAAAATGTCAAATCTCCGACCTGAAATGTTTTCGACTCATAATTTTTGACTATTATTGTGCTATATACAGGGTGTTCTATTTAAAATAGACTAATTGGTATCGACTTCCGGTATAACTGGAAGTACCAAATGCTTGTTATTATTTTTGTTGGATTAGCCACACTAGCACTAGTAATTACCTTAATTTTCAAAATTTTCTCTACACATTTTTCCCTATATCGATCGATGCAGTTGCTGGTGAGACACCCTGTATGATCTTAATTAATTATAAATACTGAAAAATTTAACCAATAGTTCATAATTAACTAGAGGCTTAATCGGCAACCTAACAGCTGAAAATGAGGAAAAAAACTTAGTTTCTTCCGCAATAATTTCAACACTGCTTAATGCATTTAAACAAAAAATTGTCTGACATTAAACATGCGAAAAGCATAAATTGGACATTACCTACGTTAATAAGCCTCCACCATATCTTCTGAACACGACAGAGTGCACTGCGATTTTCAGATAGGGCCGTGAAGAGCCTGGACACGCACCGCGTGATTGACTCCACAATGGACTTATGCTCATCAGCCCCCGTAGATGTTGAACAATGGCCTGGCGAAGTCATTACGCCACTACGACAGTTAGATAAGACTGATGTAAAGCTGACGACTTGAATGATGTTTGCCGGACCGTTGGTTTTAATTTGAGTAAAGGCGGATTTGTTTACTCAAAAAAAAAAATATTACTATAAGAAATTAAGGAAGTAATTCGCACTTACACACACACTTTTTTAATTACCGAGCCGAATTTTTAATTTAAAAAGGAGCCAGTCTCAACAATATCATGTTGTCAATTTTGAGTTGTTTGTCAAAGGCTGATGCATCACTGACTATTTGAATGATGGTGTCGATTTTAACTGGTCTTCAACTTTGCGTCGCTTCAGGTGAACCAACCAGGGATGTTTAAATATCGGACTTTACAATGACCTTACGGGACGATTTCATTTCGTCGTGGTTATTTTGTAGACATTTATCTGGTATTTGATAGGGATAATGACAACCTAAGTATATTTTGTGAAAGTTTTATTTTAAATAAAAAATTAAAAAAACGTAAAATTTACAAAATAAAAAAAAAATTATTTATTACTCGAGCAGAGATCAAAGAAAAGCCTAAGATTTTCTTCTATGAAAAAGTGTAACAAAGATTAAGAGAAGATGCTATCGCTACTTTTTTCTTTTTGAAAAAACGTGTGGACACAGAACCACTTCCCTCGACTTCGCCAGGGTCGAAGCTGGGATTTAAACCGGAAAATTGGCAGAGAGTAAAACAAGCTACGCTCTGGAGACCACGCGTTACCAAACTCGGTAAGACATATGAATATATTTTAAAACAAATAAATAATCTCAAATTTAATTAATAGTTGGAAACTGCCATGGGTGATGATTGTACATATATAAAATGCCATGTTTTCTTACATTATCGGTGTTTGTTAGTAGTTTTGAAGTGTAATATTCTTGTAATATTATTTTTACTTTCTTATACCTAATATAAGGAAGTATAGTAATCGTGATTTTTTTTACGATCTTGAGATTTT